GGTCCTCAATCACTATTAGTAACGATTTAGATTTGTAGTTTCGCGTCACAAATTCTTAAATATGAAGGACTGATCCTTTATATTGAAAAAAATTGCGATGCCATCGACATAGTGAAAACATACAATGCATAAGTATATGAATTATGATTATGTTTTTTGCTGCATTATCTCTGGAGTCTGGTGGAAGAAATGGTCGCTCCTGCATCTCTTTGGGCTGTTCGAGTTTCTGGCAGCAGTAGTTGTCATTTTTGTAATTTTGCTTTCGTTCAGGCAGTCTTGTATCGCCGTATATCACATGCACGCACTATTGCTGTCAAAAAAGAAAAAAATAATATTAACATTTTTATGGCGCATTAATATTAACATATTATAAATTTTTACATGTGAATAATTATGATCAAATTCGCTTGAAGTCAAATATTACACTTACTTATAGTTACATACTTAGCCTTCATTAATGCTGTTTACCACGTTACCAAAGCAATCGTTAATCAAAAGATGGCAGACAGTCCATCCGCGATGGCAAGCAGTCCATTGTTTTTGGTCAATAATTTCAAGAACGGAGAAAGATATCGGTAAAGGAATGCAATGGAAAATTTTGAAATATGAGGTGATGTAGGGCGAGTAGCTCAACCATGCAAGAGAAAATGATGTCTGAAGTTCAGTGAGTTTTGCTTGTATAGCTGTATACATTAATAATAACTGTATTTGAATTGACAATATTTAACTATTATTTTGCCTTCCTCAAAAGCCAGATGCATTTAAAAAGGTTGCAAACTGTGTAAATTACAAAATAAAGCTAAATCAAAGTAATTTTGAAAGGAACGCCAAATAGATTTTACGTTCTGAACACTTTTCATGGCAAATACACTGAAAAGAAATACCACTTAACCATTTGTTTAGACGAGCATGGAGCAAGTTTTTGTCTTATTTTATTAGCTTTACCAACTAGGGCAGGGTCACCACAGCAGCATATGCCAATTACTGTGGACCCTTTTACCTAACCCACCCTGTCAACGTTCCCTGTGGGGGGAAACCGGAGTACCCAAAGGGGGCCCACGACTTTCAACGGAGCGTTGGCTTTTGCTCTTTTAGCGTGGAGACTGGGTTCGAGTCGTGTTGAGAAAGTTCGCTCTGAGATTTGGACCTGCGGTCTTGGAGGTGAAAGGCAAGTGCGCTAACCACTTCGCCACCGAACTTATTTTATTTAAATCAAAGATAGGAATTATTTGAATTTCGGAGGAATAGAACAGTCAGCATCTAGAATAAGACACGCGTAAAGATCAAATTCATGTGTTGACACTGCTTGTTCCCAGTTGTTGACTAGTCTTGGACAAGTTGTTATCATCTTGTAACAAGGTTCGTGAGAGGCCAACAGACTCATAACAAGTCGTTGCAATAAGTCTGATATCGTCTGCACGTAACAAGTTACTAGCAAGTTGGTTACAACGAGCTCGTTGGAACAGCCTGTATTAGTCTTGTTGGAACAACTTGTAGCGAGTGAGTTAGCGCCATCAACCTCGTGACAAGGTGATAACAACTTGTTCCAAACTTGTCACAACGACTGGGAACACATCAAACACATCGTGATATATTGTTAGAACTTGTTTACAGATATGTAACGACTTGCGCGTTTTCACGTGCGTACGTGCTGCACGCTTTTGCAATCGAAGGGATGTCACTGTACTTACGTCACAAAGATTTCCATATCTAATGGTATTGATGCACAAATTCTGCAACAAAAAAAAACACAAGTAATAAGAATATAACCACGTTGTACACAGGGTTATTACAACAAAATCTGAAACTTAGCACTTAGAATTGAAACACCATTTATTAAACAACATTGAGCTACACGCGCAAAAATCTCACTTGTTTATCAAGTCTGCCAACAAGACGTCAAGAAAATGTATTCGCATTGCTTGTCCAAGTTGTCAACAAGCATGAAACAACTTGTTAACAGTTGTAACAACCTTGTTGCTATTAACAAACTTCTTGCAAGGTTGTTCCAACAAGTCCAATACAGTCATGATATAACAATATTGTTACAACCTTGTGTCGTCAATTATAACATTCTTGTTATATCATGATTGTATCACACTTGTTAAAACAACCTTGTAACAAATCCGATGTCATTAAGATTGTTACAAGTTGTTAGCTGCGTGTTCCAAATTTGTTGCAACCACTTGGGAACAAGCAGTGCAAACACAACTTGTCGACAGCTTGCAAACAGACTTTTAACAACTTGTTTGCAAACCTGTAACAACTTGTGCGATTTTACATGTGAAGTCTGTTACACACGCAAAAATATCACATCTTGTAGCAAGTCTGTCAACAAGCCCTCAAAAAGTTGTATTCGCATTACTTATCCCAATTTGTCAGGAAGTTTGGAACAAGCTGTTAACAACTTGTAACAACTTTGTTGATATTATCAGACTTGTTGCAAGTTTGTTCCAACAAGTCGGGTAGAGTCATGATATAACAATACTGTTACAATCTTGTGTCATCAACCTTGTAACATTCTTGTTATATCATGACTGCACAGTATCAGACTTGTTAAAACAACATTGTAACAGGTGTGATAATGCCATCAAGCTTGTTACAAGTTGTTAACAGCTTGTTACAAATTTGTTACAATAACTGTAGTCTACAGACACGTAAAAACGTTCAAGTCGTTGCAGGTCTGGAGACAAGTTGTTACATATCTGCTCACAAGCTGTCGACAAGTTGTGTTCGCACTGCTTGTTCCCAGTTGTTGTAGCAAGTTTGGAACAAGCTATTGGCAACTTGAAACAAGCTTGATGGCATTAACGGACTTGTTACTGAGTTATTCTAACAAGTGTGTTACACTATAAGAAGAATGTTACAAGGTTGATGACACAAGGTTGTAACAATGTTGTTATATTATACCTCAAATTCAAATTGTCCAATCAAGAAGCTTGGTTTGTGCCACGTGAGCATGAAATTAATCGCGATATCACGCCTTACGTCATCAATTAGCGAGCCTGCGTTCCTTTTGACAATGTTCCACCCCATGTTCCCCGGGGAACATGGGGTGGAACATTATTCGCGTAGACCGCGCGAGACAACACGCATGACAAAAACATGGCCGACAAAATATAAATAGTATTGATGAGTGATGAATAATCAAATTTTAAACGTAAAACCTGGGCTTTTTCAAAATTTTGAAGCAAATTTTGAAAAAATGTTGTCATTAATATTCCAAACGATATGTAATTCGAAAGAAAATCGACGAATACTTGCGTTAATCCGAAAATAAAACATCGTATTCACGAAGGTATGTGTCAAGTTTTTAATTCTCAACTTGGAGGCTTTTAATTTTCGGTATAATATATCATTTATAGACCCTCCGCTCGGGGGATTCGGCGAAATATTACCCTCAGTGATGATATTAAATATCATCACTTCGGGTAATATTTCGCCGAATCCCCCTCGCTTCAGGTCTATAAATGACAAATATCATGATTGTTTCGGACTTTTTGGACCAACCTTGCGACATAGATCTAACACGTACATTACAGTCATGATGAGTATAATTGTCGCGGGTGGTTTTTTCGCGGGTTATCTACGCAAATCGCGGTGTTTTGCCGTGTATTTTGTCCCGGGTCTTTTCTCCGCGGTCTAATTTCGATGTCTGCGTTCTTTCCCGGGGTGGGAGATTTTTGCATCAAAAATTGGCTGTTCTCAACAAACTTCTGTACTTTTCGATACCGATTTTGACTTGAAAATCACAAAACATTAAAAACTCTGTTGATAACTCTTTAATTTGTGTTTGCATTGCTTGTTCCCAGCTTGGGGCTACAAGATTGTTCTTAATTATATAACAGACTTGTTTCAAGAACTTGTTATCGTCGTGTAATTCAACAACTTGTTAACAAGCTGTGAATGACAACCATGTAGCAACTTGAAATAATAAGAACTTTGTTGCAACTTGTTTACAAGCTTACTACAAGGCTGTTGTGAACACATCTTATTGACAGACGTGAGATTTTTGCGTGTGTAATTGGCTGAATACTTAGATAATTGTTTTGATATTTTGATACAGATGTTTTTAATAATTTAATCCTTGTTGTGCCGGTTGGTAAGTATATAAACATTTTATAATATTTGTATTCTCTTTTACATAGTTTATTTCTAATATCAACTGCACGCTACAAAATACTAATCCTAAAGGCCGGCGCACACTAGAGCTATGTGCTTAGCAAAATGTCATTCGTGACTGTTGGCGTAAGGAGATAGCTCTCGTGTGCGGGCGATTTACGAACGACTTTTGTCGTTCGTGCCACTTACGCCAA